TGGCGTTTCCGTGTTTTTCCCCATATGATACGAGCCAGTTTGCTTTAAAAAGTCATCGACGGGCCATCCCTTTTCGTATTGTGGTAAATGGCAGAGCACGTAATAAATAAAAAAAAAAAAAATCCCTCCTTAATACGAACTCGCCTAAGATGAATATTCGGTTAACATGAACAAAATTGCAGTGACAGTGATGTACAAGATCTTATAGGAAATTTTACCGGTTAATGCGAATTTCGTTTATCACGAATCCAGAACTATTTTTTTAGTCCGTTCTACCATTAGACTTTTTTTTTTTTTCATTTAACACGAACTTTCAGAGTTATTTGTATTTTTTTCTTGTCGTTTCTCTGCTAGAGCTGCGTTCAGAAATGTTCTGCCGCGTTTAATTGAAAAGTTCACGGAGTACACTATATTGTATGAAACACGGCCAACACGAGTAACACTGCTCGACCATAGCGATTACCGCGTCAACAGTAAGCTTCAATCAACAAATGCAATTCTGTCTTCAAATGTGCTTTTTTATTCTCTAAAAGTTAGACAGTATGACTAATATTAAATCTTGAACAATTCTTAATTAAGACGTTGCGAACCTTGATGAAGTTTGTTAATGCGGATGATGATGTTGTCGTGTGTGCTCCAGTGAAATCAGTGGAGGCTAATATCATTTCGCCCATCCATCGAAAAATATCACACGCCTTGAGCACTTTAGAAAGTTTTGATATAATATCCGAACTGACCGCTAGTTTTACAAAAGCCATGAGTACAGTTGGTCGTGAAGTTCTCCCTCCTCACCCCCCGAAAAATGGCATTCACTAGCCATTATAGGCGTTGGCCACTACTAAGCTGTGGTCACATTATTATGCAGGCATCTAATAGATGGGCCAGACAATTTACATCCATGCCTTCTCTGGGATTCGAGCCCGGGTCCTTAGGTATGGTAGTCAAAGTCCACTTTCCCGTCTGGACGGCAATTGTTGACTGTGAAGTTACCATGGATTTTTCGTTCCCGCCTGCAGCGGGGCAACATACAGGAATATTTCACCAAAAAATGGTTAGTGAGTACAGTTTTTCAATTAATTAATGTATTACTATAGTATCTTCAATGACGTCACACATAAAGCACTATTGTAGCTACGTACACCTAAATATTGTAAATAGTTAATGAGTACAAAAAACTACTTCGAAAATAAAATTCGAGACCCTAGTTGACACGAATTTTTTTAATGCGAACTCTTGATTTTTCGGTCTCTTGCAATTCGTGTTAACGATGGTTTACAGCATAACTACACGGTGGCAACCTATCGATACATAACTATTTTATATATAATAAATAGATTACATAAAATATTTGACATGTGGCTATGCAAAGGCTGTGCGCGTGTTTAAATATTACATATTATATTAATCACTGCACAGTTACTAACGGCGCGATATAAATAAGCTATCATATTTGGCGCTTTGGTGCATATTTGGCGAATAGCACCCTCACCCTGTTAAGAAACCATACCTAAAATTATTTAAAAGGTGTATTTTCAGATTTGCCGCAGGTAGTAATCTCTTAGATGGGTCTGTTAAAATATAATAAAGAAATTCACATTCTGCAATTTTTAAAATTGATAGCAATGAACACGAAAGAATATAGCTTTATATACTACAAAATTTCTCAAGTATTACAATGATATATATATATAGTACATATAAATTAGATTGAATAATATTAAAAAATAAATCATTGAAGCCAATTCCACTTCAAATATATTTTATATATATATATATATATATATTAATTTTTAATTACTAAACTTCCTCCTACTATAAAAAGAAATATTTCCATCTGCTCGGAAATTTAAAATACTTCACAACAGTAAACAGCGATGTTCCAGAACATTCATCTGTTGCTGTATGTATTTGCTTAACACGCAACCGAATTTAAATTAAAAATGCTCATTTTTAACGAACAGAAAAAAAACCTTTAGGTACTTTCGGCGAATGCTTCTTCAAAACTAAATTATTCCACACGCACCTTTGAGCAAGATGTCTGGATTAATACTAGTGAGAAATTTCTCTGAACTATTAATTAAAGCTCATTACCAAGGATACATTGCTGCGACATACCGGGAAATTCCTAGTTCTGAAATTAAGCGTCGAGATGCATACAATACCGCACAACAACAGCTGGAAATTTTTACAAAGTGCTCTACAAAAAGAAGAACAATTTCAGAAAAGAAGCTTTTCCTAGCGAAAGAAGAAATAAGATGATTATGGTAAAAGGGAAACAGAAGAACGTGGAATATATTTCAATTCAACCGTTAATCACTTAGAAAAAATTTAAAAAGAATTCTGTGTTAAAGGAAAGAGACGTGTTAAGAATATTCTGTGATTTAAAACATTAGTTTCAACAAAATCTTCTTTAGTTTGATACACACCAAGAAAAACGCGAAAGAAACATATTTAATGGAAACAGGAATGGAAAAGCTGAATTAAAAATCTTAGCATGCATATCAAATCATTAATGCCTAAAAGTGAATGTTAGTCTGGACATAATACAGATTTTTAGCCAGATATAATTCCATATGGAACGCTTCACAACATAATTAGTATGATATAATATACTCTAACTTCATAAATTCTCAATAACCTTCACGTTGCTTTAGCAAGGAAACAATGTTAAACATTTGCATAGAAATACGTTAAAAACAACCATTTTCTAACAGAAAGCTATAATTTTCCACACACATCCAATAGGCGCATAATGATAATTAACTGTAACCGTGAGAAAAAAAAAAACACCCAGAAATCTAACAAAATAAATTTCATGCCTTTGCAAATGCTGATTTTGATTCCCTTGAGACTGTAATCCGAAACTGAAATAGACTCTAATCTAACACTTCAAAAAAAATTGTAAATTGTAAATTGTCATTAAAAATTTTTTAAGATATTATTTGCATATATTATTGTTAGTTATGCATGCATACGTAATGCATTAGTAGCATCTGTAGAGACAATAGGTTAATTGGAAAAGCCAGAGAGAAGAAAAATGAGTAAACGCCTTCCCCGGGAATCGAACCGTGGACCTCTGGAAATACCGGCCCAGTGTGCAGAACCACTACACCACGAAGGCACGCTAGGAAAGCGGGAGAAATACCTTATACATCTTTTACTAGCTACTAGCGGGCAAGCTCGCCAAATGAGCGGGTTGTGACGAAAGCAATATTCCAAAGTTCTATGTACTGAAAAACTGAAAATAAAATGAACCATTAATTTAATGCACTGTATACAAAGCTGCTAGCTGCGACCAAAGCAACATTTATGAGTTCCATGTACATCTGAAAGGAAAGTGCATAAAATCATTTCAGTGTGACTGAAATCGATTCATTCTTTCCAAGCAAACAACCAAGTCGTAAATGATTTTTTTGTTGCCAAGCCAGGAAACAAAACTTCGGACATTTCAAGTTAATACGCTTCTGTATGACGTCATGATTTAAATTTAATGTAATATAGCAACTTTTTCTCAATATCAATAAAAGACTTAACGTGGTAATAACATCGGGGTCAATTATCTTAATTCGAAACAAAAAAGTTGTCAATGCTGTTTTTATTTCATATTTTGTAAAACTTAAAAATTTTTTATCAACAAACTACGCTTTCAAAGCCAGCAGTGGCAAAACTTCTCGAAATAAAGCATATTTTTTATCTCCAGCGTGCAAGACTGTTGCCACTCGGAAAAATGAGGGCGAAAATGAGCGTTTTCAGAGTTTTTAATTAATATCTTCCCTAATTAAAGTCGTACGAAGATGAGAATGGTCAAAATGGCTTCTCACAAATTTTTGGATAGTGGGGTAACTCTCTCGAAACTCAACTTCTCACCGTTCTTTCGAAGATAATGCCACAAACAAACAATCAAACAGACAGACGAGCACAGATTTCAATAGTATATATAGATAGATAATAAAGCTCACGTCAATCTTAAAAATCATTATTAGCCGAACATGTTATATGCTAAATGTATTTTAATTTAAATTAGTATTATACGTTTATTAAAAAATAAAGAAGTGCACTTATTATTTTTAAATAGCTTAATTTCTCAATTAATATCTATTCATTAAATCTTAAATAAATTAAAGATATTATGCTTTCCTAAAAGGCAACACCCGAAAACTGAACATGAGCAGTGCAATGACGACCAATGACGACGAAGTGTTGAGCCGGACACGTCGCGCGGAGCATCACGTGCCCGGTTGAGTTACCTTGCAAAGACCCAGGGACACCTCACATGAACGAGCCTTGGCTGCAGTTCCCAAAGATTAGATTTCGGGGGAAGGAATGAAAAGGGGAAGTGAACAAAAGCCCCGAATGTCAAAAGATCGAACACTAGCAGTAGATAAGACTACAGAAGGCTGGAATGCAAATAACAGAAGTAAGGTGAAATCACATGTTTGGAAAGTTCTTTAAGTGTGAGAATACACCCACGTCCTGTAGCTTAATGAAGAATCTGCACAAAATGCGTTTCAAATAATAAATGCAAGTGAGAATAAAATAGATGAAATGCTAATATAAAAATGCAATTACAAATTGAATACACTGAATAAAAATAATCCGGGGAATATAATTTACCAATAAATTAGCCCTCATAGGGAATCACCATGCACATTACAAAAATGGAAAAATTACGTTAATACTTTAAAAAAATGTAGAAGAAAGCATTAAAAAGCTGGTGGGGGTAAGGCAAATTATTGAGCAAATTGCGCAACAAAGCGTATTTATTCATATAACTGTAAACACAAAGATCGCATAATTGTTCAAAAATGCCGAAACAAATTCATAAAAATAACAGCTACATTACTTCAGTTCCCCTTTCGTTCAAGAATGTAATATTTATTCACTTTTCTAACACATGAAGTTTGTGAACTCATTAGAGCTATATGTGCATAAAACTCATTACTTATAAACTATACAAGATACCAATGCTTAAAAAAATAAAATCATTAACAAATATTTACCTCTTTTCGAGTTACCTTCCAGACATAGAACCTGTAATAAAATAATTCCAATAAGTAATGAATTTAATCAAAATATTGAATTTTATAACTAACAATTTACATTTTAAATAAGTTTTAAAAACTTTGATCATTATCATCTTGCTAACAAATAATATAATTCAGTAACTTTCATGATTAGTTTTTAGAAAGGCCATTTTTTACAGAAATTATATATAAAAAAAAGTTCGGATAATTTTTATGAGCTATGATAAAAATTATCCGAAGTATCTAGGCATTCACTGATTACATCGCAAATTTCTTATATTTATGAATTTTTCTTACCAAATTAACAAAATTCGATGCATTTTGTAAAGACAGCATTCAGAAGAGGGTCACCCACTCCGCTTTCCCTACTATCAAGCCATTCGTAAAGGCTTTCGACTAATCGTATAATTTGAGAGCACGCATGCCGCAGAAATGTTATAAGGTATTTCACCTACTTACCTAGCGTGCCTTCGTGGTGTAGTGGTCAGCCCACTGAGCCGTTATTTGAAAAGTCCGTGGTTCGATTCTCGGCGAAGGCGGTTGCTAATTTTTCAATCTCTCTTGTTTCAAAAAATACTTAATGTCACTACAGTGGCGCCCGAACTAAAAGTGTGTTGGATGAGGTTTCTTCACACCCAGGATTTGGCGATTGGACCCCTTAAAAACCCCAGTCGCCCTTTAAAAAGGGGAGTATATAAGGTATTTCTCCCACTTTCCTAGCGTGCCTTCGTAGTGTAGTGGTTCTGCACGCTGGGCCGGTATTCCAGAGGTCCGTGGTTCGATTCCCGACGAAGGCGGTTGCTAATTTTTCATTTCTGCGGCTTTCCCCCCCCCCAAAAAAACCCTAATGACTACAGGGCGTCCGAAATAAAAGGTGGGGGATGGTGATTCTTCAACACCAGGATTTGGCGATCGAATTCCCTAATCCCCAGTCGCCCTTTAAAAGGAGAAGTAGATAAGGTATTTTCTCCCTCCTTTCTATATGTCTTCGTGATGTAGCCGTAGCACACTCGGCGCGTATTCCAGAGGTCCAGGTTCGAGTCCAGGCGAGGGCACTGCTCTTTTTCCATGCCTCCTGCTTCAACAATAATCTAATGACTACAAATTTTAAAGAAGAAAATATTCTGGAATAAAAATTTCAGATTATGCTTATTATTTGAAATGAAAAATATCGTCTGTTACTTTAAAATGTATTCTTCTTTCAAAAGGTTGCATGTAAACAAGCTAAAAAGTGAAGGATATGTTTCTGAACTTTCCGAAGAGGATTATTCCAATTCCATAATTAAAAAACGTTGTGAAATGCGTGGTATTAAGTCCAAAATAAGAATAATTATTAATCGGAAAGGGTAAAACAGTTAATCTTTACTTCTACCTGGAAAGAAGACTCCAAAGGAATATCCGAAAAAGGTAGTATTGTTTCCAATATTAATAACAACAGAAAATCCGCCGCCACAGAAATCAATTGCAAAGTCTTTAAAAACATGTGTACCAACAATAAATAAAACAATAAACAAACCAAGATGTACCACTTCAAAAATATAAAAATATAATGTTCACCAGTTTTTACCGAGGAATGTGATTCAACGCAGAACAATTCGTACAACCCTATATGAAAACTATTTAGCAGGAGATGTATGGAATTACATTGAGACCCTTGAGGAAGCATTGGTTTACCTAAATGACTGGGGAGGGGGAGTCCATTTATTATCCAAAACGAAGAGAAAAACATGTACACACATGGTTTCGTCAATGCAAAGAAAGTTTCAGTGAGAGGTTAATTATCGTCAGAGGGTTCTTTTGTAATAGGAAATTAAAAATAAGAGGCGCAGGAAAAAATGTTTAAAATCAAATCTCAAATCAACGTACTATCAAGAGAACGTTTTACGTCAGATGTTTAAAAAAAAAAAAAAAAAAAAAAAAAAAACATTTTTTTACCACCAACGACTTTCGGAAAGTCAACTTCGTCAAGATAAAGTAACAAGTCAAGATAAAGTAACAAGTCATACTTTTAAACTTCGTCAAGATAAAGTAACAAGTCATACTTTTAAACTTCGTCAAGATAAAGTAACAAGTCATACTTTAAAAAGTACCACTACGTTCTTGAACCACTGCATTCAAAAAATGAGGACTGATATAGGTATTGCATATACACATTTTCAATTTATTCCTGCCAAGTCTCCTGGCCTTTCATTTACGAACTATTATGACTTCGGTCTCTTGAAAAGAGCTCTTTCTAAGCGCAAATCCACGATGATTGATGGACTCAAGAATGTATGGTTTGGCTTATTTAATTACGGGAAAGCCTCGAATGCTACCTGTCTAAGGTAAAGGATGCCTTCGTGGAGGACTTTTTAAGGGAACTGGATCGTATACACGTAACACATGGAGAAAGCTATGATAACGCCCATGCAGCTAGCCCGTTCACGGGATTCGAACCTAGGACTGCACTACCAGTGTTCAGCGACTTTACCGCTCGACCGCTGGTTGGCCTACAGTTTGAGGAATGGAAATAAATACCCTCGAAAGTCCTTGTATCATGGAAATCCCATTGTGACTTATAGTACAGCAAAAAACGTATATCAGATGAATGAAGCATTTAAAAAAACTAAACTTTAAAATTAAACTTTAAACCTTAATTAAATGTCCCTGAAATGATTCTTGATATGTGTTAGAACACTGTGTAATATACTAAACGTATGTGTTAATAAAATGTGCATGCGAATGGTTACGCTTCTTCTTAATTAGCTCCTAATAGTTGAATTTTCGGAGAGCCAGAAAATGTGTGCGAATTAGCGCAGAAAGTTATTGATGTTAACTACCACGTTGTTTAAGCGTAAACACTAATATGATTATCGGTTTTAAATACAGCGTAAAATATGCATGGCATTAAACTCATTGTGTATTTTTTAATCAGAAGAATTTGCTACTAACGAATCAGCGATTTAATTATTTACCATAACATACACCTAAATGCTATTTGCTTTAAAATTCATTCAATTTTTCACTAAATAACTTTTTCCAATCTACATATACGTAAATGAAATCCAGTTTCAAAAGCAAATCGAATAATTTACTTTCTGAGAAACAGCATCGAGAGCGCAATTTCTTTTTCCCTTGCTTAGCACGTAGAATCATTCGAACAAACAAAATCAACAAGTGTGTAATTATACTTAACGGAATTGAAAGTTAATTTTGTTTAGGAGAAAAGAGAGAACTTAGCTGGAAGAACTAATTCGAGTCTGCGTTAAAGAAAAGCTTCGTCAGAAGATGGGGACCGTTTTTCCCTATTTCCCGGCGGACGACACCTATCATGCCACGTCCGTATCACACATGCCCAAACGAGATTACTTAAGCAGCAAATAAATAATTTACTCGCCAAATTTCTGACTTGGCTAAATTACTACGGCGCCCAACTCTACGAAATAACACATACCCATACGCCACTGCACATGTCCATTATACATCTTATAACCTAATTTTTCTCGGAGACCCATTTTCAACGTTTTCTACCTTTTTCTGTTGTTTCTTTTTTTTTTTTTTTTTTTTTTTTAAGGTCTTCATATTTCTCAAGATTAAGGCCCGGTCCAATTCCCTATATTGTATTTCCTTCCCCCTTCCCTCATACCAGTCAGGGAAAAAAGAGGGAAAATATATTAGTTTTTCCCCTCTCTTGTAGCGTTTTCATTTTCTTGTTTCCCTTCTGAGTAACAAGGGTTGATTTGGAATGGCAATATTGTTTGCGAGATGGGGACCCAAAAACAAAGGACCGTATCCATATTGAAGCCATTTCACCGTACGGATACACAAAAAACAATGCTTTTTGAACACTAATCTCTTAAATTTCCTAAAATAGCATTTTCTCCATGTTAGTGGAAAAATTTTTTGAAAGTAACACTGTAAATAATAAAGATAACACTGTAAGAGCATAGAAATGTAACAAAAATTCCTTTATCGTCACCATGTTGGCCAATATGGAAAATTACTAATTCCAAGAGATCTCAACATTTTTCACGCATCATTATGTTGAAATGTAAAACCGTACAGCACATGCATATATATATATGAATTTAACAAATATTCTCTATTCGTAAAAAACTAATATAAATTAAAATATTAAGAAATTTTAATTGCAAAAATATATACATATATATATTATATATAATGTTGTATGATCTTAAATTCATTTAGCGCGAAAACAAGTTGCTACTACTTGCGCAATTGCTGCAAAGTAAGTTAATAATAATTTATTTACTAAAAAATATTGATTAATTGAATATATTATCTCCTAAGTTTAATTATAGTAGGTTTATGTTAAAAGAGTAAATCCATACTAGTAAGTTATATTTTGAAAGATGTTTTGAAGTAACTTGAAAGTAAAATGTTAAAAATGTTTTAACGGGAATTGGAATTAACAGGAATAAGTTCTTTGAATATCAGCATTGGTTCATAATCCCTTCTATTCACGGAAATATTTGGCCTGACTTGAATTGCCGGATTGGTTTAGCCTTTATTGCTCGAGTAAAGACGAAACACCTTCGTATTTATTTATTAATTATTGTTCATTGAACGGGAGTTGGTTTGTTCCCCTTGAAAAGTCAACTAATTTCCGATCAATGACAATGATTACATGCATTTAATTTAATTCTTGCCTTTAATTTATTCCTTTTACAATTAAAATTTTGTTATTCACGATTAACCCCGTTAAAACATTTTTAACATTTTACTTTCAAGTTACTTCAAAACATCTTTCAAAATATAACTTACAATATGGATTCACTCTTTTAAGATAATCCTACTATAATTAAACTTAGGAGATAATATAATCAATTAATCAATATTTTTAGTAAATAAATTATTATATATATATATATATATATATATATATATATATATATATAATACCGTACGGTTATTATATATACGTTTTTGAAAAATTTATATATATTGTTCAAAAATGTGAGAGAAATGAAATGCGGTCATATCAAATTAGTGTTGATTTTACGGAAA